GAGCCGCTGCTAGGCGGGCAGCCCGCGGCAGCCAGCCCGGCAGCAGCCCTCGCGGGTGGATGAGGCCCGGAGCGGTTCGGCTCGTGCCGGCCACGGTGTCAGTGTGGGACCGCGGCACCGAGCCCTCCGGTCTAGGCTGGGGTCGGGCGTTAACACAGGTTTTATCTACGGTGTGTCAGTGCCCATGCTTCTCTGACGTGCGCTCTTTTGAGAGAGTTATTAATTTGTTTTTGTACTTGTTTGATGCATACTTGTCTCAGATGCTTCTGGACGAGAATGGGGCAGAGGCGGCCGGATGGCTGTACCTACGTGAACTACCCCAGCATGGACCTTACAGAGCCCTACGCTTGGTCGTATTTACACGGTGCTCTGTGTATTTTGGTCGTACTTTGTGATTTATTGTGATACCTCATTTGTAAATAAAACGAGTCAGGATCCCAAGGGTTTGCTGCTTGCTGTATTTTATTTTTGCTCGCCTCGAGTACAGTTGCGATCATTTTGTTTCAGGCAGGCTGGTAGCAGTTCTTGCATTAGTTGCAGGTCTCCACAGACTGAAGGGGCATGTTGCAATGGTGCATACAGACGTGTCCTTGCACAGAGCGTACATTGAGCCCTGCACAGTACGAGTCTTTAAAGTATTTTTGGGTCTATTCCTACCCTGTTGTAATGAGGTGCAAATGGGAGACTATATCCTTCTCATTTAGATCCACATTTGAGATTTCAGCTATACCCTCTTCACCTCAATATTTTTTTGACATATTGTCACTGCAAATACTTGAAAAGCTCAACTTAGATTTTTCTTTGAGGTACCAGGGTTCACTTTCTGTAACGCTCAATATGTATAAATTGGCTTAATGTTTATAGCTGGTAGCATATGCACACCAGTACTATTAATATGTTGATGACAGTTCATACATATGAAAATTACAAAATTTTTGAGCAGATAGCAGTAAGAGTTTTCTCTCTAGGGACAGAAGCCTGGTTAGAGTCCGCAGTCAGAGGCTGAAAGCTCTTCCCGAGCCCCTCGCGGCACGGCGTGGGACAGCTGGCTTCCTGGCCCCTGTCATTGTCAGCGGTTCGCATCTGATTCACATCGTGCTGGCCTTGAGCAGTCACAACTATTGGCTGGTCTCTGCAAGTATATATATATATTTTTTTTTTCCAAGTAATTTTTTCATAGATCCCAGGGATAGAGTTTCCATAGCTACTGTAGTTTGTTTTAATGTTAATATTATGCTTGTAGTGAAAAAAAATTCCAGATAGTTCAGCAAAACAGGCTTTTTCAAGCGCCGCTTCTAAAAATGAGCGGATTTCTTTTTCCACACTTGGTGACAGGGATTCGCCATCTTACATAACCTTATTCATATTTGAGGACTTGTCAATGTTTCTCTGTCTGATGGGAGAAACAAACCTATGATTCACATGTTCTTATTTGTATTATTTTCTTCTTGTCTGTTTACTTGTCTTGCTGTTTGATTGTCTTAAAATACACAGCCAAGAACTAGAGTTAATACCCTAAGGATTCACTAGTGTTAAGCAGAGTGAAATAATTACCTCTTGTATCTTACATATAAAACTCCTGTAAATCATCCTAGAATGACACTTGCCTCTTATCGCCACATCATACTATTGATTCATACTCAGCTTCTGGCTCACTAAAATCTCCAGGCTTCTTATTATTTCTCTCTGCAACGCTGCAGCTTAGGCAGTCATTCACCATTTTATAATTTTTCCTTTTTATTGTGATCTGTAAAATGATCTGAAATCAAGCAGATAGAATTCAAAATGATTTTACAAATTTATATGTTAAAATTTACAAATTACAATTTGTACAATTTACAAATTACAAATGCTTGATTTCAGATCACTTTTTTTTTCCCAGCTAATCAAGACTAATTTGCTTTTCAGGAACACTTATAGCTCTTCTAGGCTGCATTGTCGCATATTTATTGAGCATGATATATATTCCTGCAGTCAAACTGCATATAAAAAACACCCAACAGCACTAGATTAAATTCCATCAGGGGGCTATTTGAGCCATATTCCCACTTTTTGAGTACGTAGTGAATATGCTTTTAGCCACTTGTGTGCCTACCACTTGTGTACTACTTTTATCTAGACAGTATTTCTGTAGCTTGTTTAAATATGATCACGTAGACCTTTGTCTAAAGCTGCATTCAAAGTCTTATTGCATCTTTCCTAATGAGTGGTCTAGTTATCCTGACAAAAGCAGCTGGTGATTCTTTTGGTGTGATTTGTTTGCATATTCACATGGGCAGTTTCTTAGCACTAGTGTTCTCTAAGACCTTGCACTTACAAAAAATAATTCCTATTTCTATCCTTTGGTATGGTGCTACCTCCCCTGCCCTTACAGAGTTCTTAAAGGTAATCTTGAGATTTGAAAGCTCATCAGGCCTGTATCTTCAGAAGTCTCAAGGTAAAGTTCACGAGGCTTTGGTAAGCTATTTCCCAGCTCTATCTAACATACACATTAAATACACTTGAACCTATCATAGTTTCTGTTCAGTATTAATACTGCACAATTCTAGCGTGATCATAGAACAGATTTTTTCCCTTCTTAGCTCACCAATACTTAAGTGCTGCAAACCTCAATTACCTTGTTTTATTATAGGGCAGATACATTACTAGAAGGAAGAGGGAGTAGCCGTGTGGAATATTTCCACATTGTTAAATGTATTGGTTTGCAGCTCAAACTAGTTAAACTCTGAAAGAGACCAGGGAGGTTGCTTAGTGTTGCAAACCAATGCAGTCTTGTGTGAGTTGGCTCACATCCCACCAAACCACCTCGCGCAAGGCACCGACCTCCTGAAATTCTGGTTGTGCTGTCCTAGCCAGCACATCACTGGCCTTTCCTTAATTATCTGGAAACCTGCTGCTATTAACTGGACTTTATAGGGCAGCCTATGACACAGGAAGTTGTTGCAAGGAATTGAGGTAGGAAGTATTTTTTAATTTCTGCAGCCACTTCAGAGTATTGCAAATACTGCAAAATGCCCTTTTGGGAGACTAATGTTTATTGAAAAGTGCACTTGAAAGACGCAGGTCTCGGAGAAAGATAACATTATAGCCACAAAACCCAGCACATTTTTTCCTGGTAATTTCTTTTAACATTCAGTCATTTACAAAGGTGTGTGTGCACACACTAAAGGCTTATGACAACTTTGTTTTGCTATATTTTGAACAGCAAATACTTCATTCTGTCCAGAACTCTGGAGAGTGATGTGATCACTTAATCATTTCTTATCGCAGGTGTTAAAGATTTATTTGCACCTTTAATTCGTTCTTCGCTCAAAAAAGAAGAGAAAAAGCTAACATAACTGTTGTATGACTGCAAAAATATAGTTAAAATATAAATTAATGTATACCTAATTATACTGTAGCAAGCAGTTTACAAAATGAATGCACAGTGCTCAGCCATCAAAAAGTATGTGCATTTTTCATGTTTATTTCTACTAGCTTGTTCTTGCTGTTGCAGCTATGTATTTCGTTATGGATTCCAGCTAGCATTTAGGTATAAAGTATAACAGTATAAAGTAATTCTGAGTTGCTACTATAGCAGCAACATCTGCATTCATGAATATGCAAATGAAAGTGCTGCTACAAGTATGCATTTCATTAAACAGGAGTTATTAGCTAAACTTTATCCCCAAAACTGCTCTGTTTTTGTCACATACCTGGAAAAATGAAAAAAAAAAAAAAAAAAGGTATTTTTTTTTCCTTTTTTACCTTTTCAAACTTCAATTGTATTCCCTCTGTATATATTTCAGGTTCTACTTCTGTACTCATTCATGACCTCTACTTGCAGGATCTAAATCGCAGAATGGGCATTTATTCATTACATTTTTTTTTTTCCTTACACTATCCAAACCTCACTAGCACTACTCAGAGAACAGTTCTAGTTATTTTTTATTTTTAATTTATTTTTACTTTTTTTTTTTTTTTAAAAAAATCCAGTAGTATGGAAGACCAATTTCCTATTCACTTTTAAACATGTTCGCTGAATAGTAAATAATGTCTACTAGGAAATTTTGAACAGGAAGAAGTTATAATTACCAGATCCAAAAGCCAGAGATTAGAAGGCACATCTTGAAAGGGCATAGAAATCCCTGAGGGATACAAAGGGAATATAGACATGGTAGATACTTGACTAAATTGCATTTATGTGCAGACCAATACTAGCTGATATCTTTTTGATTAAGTTTTAATCTCTGCAGCCTCTTTAAGGCAGATTTTAAATTTGTCATGATCCAAAGGTAGCTCCAGCATATATCATTGTAATCAGTATTCCACAACACCATATTTTGTCATCCTTCCTTTAATCTGTCCATAGAAATTCAAAATCCTAGTGGCTTTTATTGCATTATACTTTGCTCATTTTTGCAATAAACTATAATATTCCATACATGTAATTATGACTTATCCACTGTCTTTCTTCTATATACTTAAATGTTACAGAACAACAACATCTGGTACAATTTAGATTTGGTGAGCTAGCTAGTAATATAAAATGCTATTGACTTTCTAATACAAATCTGTAATTGGAGCAGCATTTTTACTTAAATAGGTTATATAACCCTGTAATTTTAATACTTGAACTACAGCATTATTAGAGCAAATCCATAATGTCTTCATATCCTCCACTGTATCAAATCTGGGTTGTTTTGCATAGAGTCAACAGCTTATTTATTTATTGGTGTTGCCTCTGATGGAGCCACTTGTCAATGGCATCCTCATATTTTTTTGGTTCCTTTAACCAGTCTTGATGCCACCTGAGGTTGGCAATAACATTTGAGTAATTCTGACCCAAACTTTGTTTCCAGCTGATAAATTCCCTCTTATTATACTCCTGAACAGAAGAAGAAACCTTTGGATAGTTTACTATGGAGCGAAGTATTTTGTCCAAGGAATGTGCAACTACTGGGAACTTCATGGCAATGTTTTCTAACTCATCTGGATCGGCAGAAAGGTCTGGAAGAAACAAAAAGTCAGTTAAGAGCCAATTTACATTTAGGCAAATCAGTCAGTCAATTAGGATATAAGAAATTATAACGCACCAAAGAGTTGTGGAGGTACTGAATTGCCATCAGAGTATGTGATATACTTCCACCTGTCCGTTCGGAGCATGTATGTGGAAGAATTCACATTGCAGCCATGGAACTCGCTCAGGACCCATGGAGGCCGAGGCTTTCTTGTCACCACTTCATTTTCTAGCTCTTCAAATAACAGGGGCATAAGCGAATATCCACTGAGGTTCTGCTGAGCAGGAATTCTTGCTATATCTAAGCAAAGAGAAACACAGCACACTCGTACCATATCTCAATTTAAAAAGACTAATGCAAGATTACAGGTGTTTGAACAGCAATTCTGCTGCAGGAAAGATCTGTAAAAAATAATAAATAGTCCCTAAGGAACTTTAAGAGCTCACCTACACACCATCTTGACCAGAAACATTCTCTGCCGTGTCAGTCCTTTTACAGATGTTTGTTAAAACTGATGTTCAACCTATCATTGATAGTTGGTGCTTCTTCATCTTTTTATTCATGTGTTGATACCCTTCCTTTCCACTCTGACTTCCTCAAGTAGGACATATAGATCAACACAGAGTACCCTAAAAGCTCCATATCCAGCATGGATGTGGAATCTACCTAGCATGACCTTTACTTTGATAGTAAGGGTGCTAAGCTCTTGTTGAGCATTCTTCATCGGTGAAGAGCAAAACAAAGTGGTGGTTATAGTTATCACCATCTTCCAGGTAGGGCATCTGAGGAACAGGACTTCTCTGGTAGGGCTGGAGATCTACAGTGCACATGCAGAAAATACTGCAACCTACTACATGGTCCTGGGAAGATCCTCTGACACGGATAGCCCACTCTAGCAACTTCCTGGGCAAGTGACTCTAGCTTCCAAAGATAAGGTCAATATCGGAAGTCTACAAAGGTCCTCCAACATATTCTGGAAAACATGGTTGAGAATCCCACCCAGGTTACACATAAACTTTAGGGCTTCCCAAAAAAGGAGTGTTGAGCGTACTACTATTTTTAATCACCCTTCTGAACATAACATTTAGTCATTCAACATTTTCCATTTTGCAGAGGACTGGGGGAGTATTTTATCTCCTGGTTTATGGAGAGTGGTTACTTCATTTCTTACAGTGACATCCAGTGAACACAGATTGCCCATATATGACTTTCTCCCTTTCCAGCACATCTTCTCTATTTTTTTACTACAGTACATACAGCTATCATTAATCTGTAGCTCTTGCTCCAGTAAATAAAGATCCTTTAAGGCTGTGTTTGAATTGGCAGTAGGAAGGCATACAACATATAAATTCCATAGCTTACAGTGTATTGGCTAAAAATTTGAACAAATGCATATTAAGTTTGAAAAAACGCAAAAAAAAAAAAAAAAAAAAACAGATATGTCTTCTGGACTCCTACACTGCTAAAGTTATCGAGTACAGTCACTGCAAAGACATTTCATATGCAAAGAATTTTCCAGGCTGGTATCTTCAATAGATCCAGCTTTTCCAGCGGAGCTCTAACCATAAAGACCAACAAAGCTTAACAAAATATATAAAAGGATTCTGCACTGTCCCCTGCTTACAGAAGTACATTTTAACCTACTATACCAGATGCCCTAAGGCAATTGCAATACACACCTAACACTTCTTAAATAAAGAACTTTGAAGTTTGCTTTAAAAAGGATTTTTTCTTTCTTTTTCTTTCCTTTCTTTGTTTTTTTTTTCCTAGTCTTTATTGCTTTTTCCACATGACCCTTTGACATTCCTTTGATAAGCTAATAAAGTTAACATCCCTGGAGCTTTAAACCCATCTCCGGATATACTTACAATGTATTTTTTGTAGTAAATTGCTACGTATTTAGGCTAGTAAATATGTCTGCTTGTCTCTATATAGAATTATCTGTTAAAATTATGTCTTGCATTTGTAAGATGGAAAACAGCCTCCATAGTTGTGTTGATGATGGTAACAGCGATAACAAATATTTCAGCTCCCTTATTTAATTCTTTTATCTGCTTTTTGCATTTTCCATCAATCTGAATGCACATTCCTCAGATAAAATGTTACTCACAATTATGTTAGTGCTTCTAACTTGCTTCAGAAAGTGGAGATCTAATTCTAACTGTAATATAGATGCATAATCATAATTAGTAACCGAAAAACTTTAATTCCATTTGAAATGATGCAACTCACCAAGCATAGTAGGATAAATATCCACAAGAGATACCACATCTGATACTTGCTGCTGCTGTTTGATGCCTGGCCCCATAACTAAGAGAGGAATGTGGGAACTCCCTTCATACATGCTCATTTTATAGAATTGTCGGTGGTCCATAGCAAGTTCTCCGTGATCTGCAGTGAATATGATGATTGTTCGTTTAAGAAGCCCAGTATCTCTCAGAGCTGAAATAATCTTACCTGCAACAAGACATTGAAAAATAGGTTCAGTAAATTCCGTAAAAATTCTGTGTACCGCCAGGGCAGCATGCAGCCTCTGGAGTATCCTGTCCAAAGGCATTGCAAATCTTCTCTCTGCCGTAGAAAGCAGAGCCCAGAAACTCTAGTAGTAAATGTGGTTGCAGGTGTCTGCCTCCCGGTAAGCTGTGAATGGAGTTGGGACAGCAGCTATAAAACTTTCAAAGGGTGAGGATGTGCCAGAAACTGAGATACATTTTTGTTACAGAAGCCTTTGGATAGGCTCCATCATAACTGATAATAGGTAGTTGGTACATCTGAAGTGAATTAGGGTGGCAGAAGCCAGGATACTAGATGTAATGTGACACACTCCCAACGTCTCCCAGTAATCAGCAAATGTCTCCCTTTCCTGTGCCTAATTCCGCACAGGAGCCCTCAGGCTTATCTTTAAAAAATAGTTAATCATTTTATCATTACTAAAATACTAGCTTACTCACACTAGAATGCAAATAAATTCTTGTTCTTTTACTGTCACTTGTCAAACTAAAAAAGACTATTAATTTTGACTAATTTGTATTATAATTTTTACGTATGAAGATCTGACAACAAACCCTGAAGATTTCTGAATGCTTTTTTTTTCTTTTAAAAATGTCATTAATATGCTGGTATACCCTATGCTCACCTTTACGGTTTAATCCATAAGTAGCAGTTGTCATCCATTCCATGATCAATCTCTGCACATGACATCCCTCTCCAAGGAAACTGTTTGAGCTCCCAAATTTACGTCTCTCCATTTTTTTTCCTTGTTAGCATTTTTCAACCTGTCCTCAATTCACACAGCCTTAAGAGCTGCGCAGTTGTTTCTCATACATATAAAGCTATACGGATAGTGACTGACTCCCAGATCTGAACTGTTATTTTCAAAAGACCTGCCATACCAGCATTTCTTAAAACAAAACAACCTCCCCTCCACTGTATTATGAAACATTACCTACCAAGCATGGCATCTGTCTCTGCACACATAGCATAATAAAACGCTCTGATATTCCTCACTTCTTCCTTTGTAAACTCTCCTGTGCAATTCTTGGTGTAAGATGAGTAATAGTCTACTGGATGCATCTCTGAAAGAGAAGACCACTTGGGAATTTTAATAGCTTCATATGATACCTAAAAATAAGTGAAAATTAAATTACTTTAGAAAATGAATTGAACTTCTTCTTTTTTAATAAATGCATTTAATTAATAACTTTGAAGTATAAATGAATAGTACTCAAGTTCTGGTCCAGGGAACACCAGCTGCTTCTCTGTTACATGGTATTGCTGCCTCCTCCATACTTTCCCTCTGTTTTCACAGGTATCAAGTCATTTAGTTAGAAAAGAGAAAAATCATCTAGAAACTCAGGATAGGAGCCAGAAATATGTGCTTTGCCAGATTATATTTTTCTAAAGAGAAATACACTGTAGAAAAATTTTCTAGAACCACACTGCAGAGTAATTACAGAAGTATTGGCATAGTGCCTCATAAAAGAAGAGCTATGAGCCGTATGTATCAAAAAACACTGGGTGTTATATGAGCCTATAGAGCAACATGGAAATTTACTGGGAAGATCTCCAGAAGAGTGGGTGACAAGTCTTGGTATCCTGATTATAAGAATTCACTAGAGTAATCCAATTTTCCAATACAGTTCTGTTCGTCTCTAAAGATGTCAAGCTCTTTAGTTATAAAAGAGAGATGTAAAATCATTTCGAAACTAAAAAATACAATGCAATCTATTACATGTAATGTAATGTGTATATGTGTATATTCAAACTGGCATTTACCCAGATTGGATATGTAAGTACCAGCTTTAGTGTTTCAATGTACAACTCATGTATTTTGTCTAGGCAGTCACACGTGTAGTACTTTATATACTTAAAAGAATGCTACTAGAGAATACTAATTATTTCTAAATTACAGATCAAAAATTGTAATATTCACATGGAAAAATGGGCTTTATTAAATAATAAAAGCATACCTGTTCCTCTCATTTTTCTCTAAAAAAATCCTCTCTAGCAATCAGAGCTGAAAGCAAGATTATGACAATGCAGAAGCAAGTTCTGTTAAATACGAAAATCAAAGACAGTAGATATTTGCCCTTTAAAGTTTCGAGAACATGTTTCCAGACATGTACAAAAGGGTATTTACAGCACTGTACAACCCAAACCAAAAAACTATACTAGCGTTTTTTTCTTTTTCTTTATTTTTCTTTTTTTTTTCTCCCTGTGTTTTAATGAAAATATGACAGGAAAGATATTTCACAGGCTTTAATGATATCAGTTGCTAAAATCACCCACATTGCAGCGAGAGATACACTGACTGGATGGGTAAATCTTAATACAAAACAGGAAGGGATTGGGTGAAGCCTCCCCACTTTATTTGCTTCGTGCCAGTAGGAAAGCTGTGATTTCAGAAGTGAGAATTCAGAAGCAGAAAGAGCTCTCCAGCTGGGCCTGCAGCTGGTGACCAAAGCCTGACTTTCCTTCTTATCACACAGTTCCAGTTCCAGATCCATACAGGGTGGGTTTTAACCCAGGCATGGTAAGGACAGCAGTATTTCCTATTCAGAGATACACACTTGATTCCCCTTTATCCTTGAGAAATGTGATACTAGAAGATAAACAATAACATGTCTAGAGCTCAGAAAAGTTTTCCCCCTTCACACCCTCAGTTTGGTCTTCAGTCCTGCAGGGAACTGCAGCTGTGACTCAGCCCTGGGCCTGCTGCCCCAAGGCTGATTTCACACATAGCAGCTCAGGTGTCTCAACAGCGGGCAAGACAGCAACAGCTGAAGTGCTCATAACAACAACGATAAAGTCCAACTTGGTAACACTCAAAACAGACGTACCAAACCCAGAGTTTCCTCAGGGCCCATAGAAAACTGGCTACAAGAAACCGAGTAAGGTCAAATGAGAGCAGACAGCTGCTTCAGACATCCTCCCATTACTGAAGGTTCTTGGGATACATTAAGAAACATTTGGGATTCCTCAGAGAGTATTTATTAGCTACTGTAGTTGTAATGACAGCAAAAAGTTTCACCTTCATCCATGACTGATCAGAAGACTTAATCCTTTTCTATCAGACTAGGATCTAATTTTAAGATTCACAAGATCTCATGCTTGCTTGCTGTAACTCCTATCTAGGAAGGAAGCCACATGCCCCAAAAAGGAGCCAGCTAGTACAAAATGCAGGAGATCATCTGCTTAGCAACATGGGGTTCATAAACATACTGTGTTGATACCCACCCTCTGTGGGCCCCCCATAAACATATAATTTAATTGAAGTCCTTCATTCTTGCACTCAAATTTCTCCATAGGATTTATCTTTGTTAGTTTGGAAAAACGCCTCTTTCAAAACATATACATTTCAGTAGGGTCATCAAATGGTCAGTAAATGATACAATGTGGTTCAGGTAACTGAGTACGTATACATAGCGGTGGAAAGGACATCAAGAAATGAGGAAGTCCCTGACTTGGATTAAGTTTAACAAGCACTTATCAGAGAGGTTATAGCTAATCTGTTCTAAAAAGCATTGAAAGTGGGCATTGCCATTTCCTGAGACACCTCTCCCTGTCCTCGCAACTAGCACCTACGAAGTTTTCCTTAATATCCAGCTTGGTCTGGCTTTTTGGGAAAAAAAAAAAAAAAAAAAAAAAAGAGGATTCTTTCCTGCTCTTTCTCTCCCCACAAAATTTTGACTATTACTAGAAGAACTTGCATCTTTCAACCTTAATCTGTATATCCTTTTTGCTAAATCTCTGTATTTTTGTGGCACTTAGATAAATAGATTTTGCAGTTCCCCAGGGAGCATAGTGCAAAAAAAATTACATAAACTGCATCTGTTTTTTTGAAGTAAATATAAAGTCTTTTCAAACCAAATTCTCAGTTATTCCACTATAGAAAATCTCAATGCCTTTTATGCAGTGAAAGGTGTGGTAATCTGCGTATAGTTTTGTAACAGATGAGGGAACCTGGGGACCTTATATTATCTGTTGGCTTTGCCTATATGGAAATAATGGGACTTCATTCTAAAAAAAGAGTTTGACTAGTAAGAAAAGCAGTTAGCAAAAAAGGCTGATTTAAACTGTATTGTACTGCTTCAGGTTCTAGCTTAACAGTCCATGCAAAGTCAATTTCTCAATATAAAAATCAGACAGACTGATTTCATATGACAACATTTGTACTAAGCACCATATGGAGCATGCCTTAAACAATGAACTTGTGACCAGTACTTAGTATAGCAACTATTTCATAGTTTAAGATACAGCTTAATATGTTTCTAGCCACTGAATCGAAATTTCTTTAGTGAATTAGCAACTACTTCCAACAATCCTTCTCATCTCCCATAATCAGCAGAAATTCTTCACTTCTGTTTTTTCAGTCTTAAATTAGAAATTTAATATCTCATTCAAATAGTTCTTACAATGAACTGAAATACAAAAATTGAGTCTGGCCTGAAAATCCTGGGTGGAATAAAATGCCTTTTATAATCCAGTTATACATTAATTTACACTTTAATTTCATTTTCACATACCTTTTTAAGCCAATAGGGAGATGTTAAAAATGTAGAGGATCCAAAATTTTCTCCTGTAGATGGTGATGGATATGGATGTGGTAAATTTAATCCCAAGTAAAGAACAAACGGTTGAGTAAAGTTAACGGCTTCTTCCTTTATCCAGTTTACTGCTTTATCAGTGTTCTGCCAATCTTTCTCCATTACTCTTATGTGTGTCTTATTCCCAGTAAGTTTGACCGTGGGTCTCCCTTCCTGTCGAAGCAGGAAGGCAACATCCCTGGTCCAGGCTTCAACACGGTTGCTAGAAACAAACATGCAAGATACGTATTCACTGGAAAGTGTTTTCTTCTCTTTTCCCCCAAATAAAGAGAGCTAAAAATTCAAGGAGAAATGTCCTACATCATTCTATTTGTAACTTCTATATAAAGGAATCTCTAACTATACTAACCAATAGTTATTGTATATTTACAGCTTTAGTCATATTTTTCTACTTCTGATCTTCCTTTTTTATATTATAAATTCATACAAGAATGGTTCATCTTCCTGCCTCTGCAAGATAACATTCATAAATACCACCTGTATTTTGTTGACCTTGCTCCACATTTTGCCACTGATTCATATGTCATTTATCTGGCAGACAAGGCCTTGGATTTTTGTGAGAAAAAGTCCTTGAGAAGTAACTTGCCTGGAGTAGCTGCCTTTAGAAGCAATATTTGTTTTTCATATTGTGTTTCTTAGGCTTTTTTAAAGACTATCACTTAGGACAAAAATCAGTAAGAGTGATTTATCCTCTACACTTCTTTTTGATTTAGTCAATAAATACTATCAAATAGTAAAGTTTTAGGGAGAAAGGAAGTGAGGGGGAAAAAGACACCACTTTAATGATAAAATATTTTTGGAACAGATTTTCTAATATCATTACAACTGTTGCCTCTCTGCAAATACTCATAAATTTGAGCTGCAGATGTCCTTATTTCTTCGCCAGAGTGAATGACACTAAAATTTCCGTAAACAAAGGTTGGAAAGAAACATTCCATTTAAAATACCTACTAATTTACACTTTGCTGTAATTTTAGTATCACCATAGAAATGATAAAAAAAATCTACATCTGATCATGTACTTTCATTAAAACACGTCATTATGAATATTAAAAAACATCAAACAGCTTTCACTCACACAGGAATTTTAATAGTATATTTTTTAACTTCCAGAAGAACTACTAAGATTATCTGTAACAATTAAAAATATTTTGTCTCATTTAGATTTACATATGCTTTCAAGATAAACAGGTTTAATTGAATTATTCACAACAAATTTAATTAGTTAGATCACCTGCAGGAAAATATACTCAACAAATATATATTTGATAAATGTAAAAATTAAATTATGGCCATGTTCTGTGTGTGTATATTTCAGACTACAAAGAATGTCATAATGTTGATTTATGCTGAAAAATACATCAGTGACGCCACAGACCAGTCTGATTATCCACTCAGAGTGAGGCTAGGACAAATCTAAAAAAAAAAAACAAAATTAAAAAAAAAAAAAAAAGCTCCCCAAGCCAAAACAAAACCCTTCAGGCCATTCCTTCATTCTGGAGTAACATAGGCATTATCCTGATACACACAAGAGGAGCAGTTATCCTGAGTCAGAGGAAGAGAAAAAGGCAGACTGTAATAACATGACTTCAAAACGTTAGGTGGATGACAGAAAAAAAAAAAGGGGAGGGAGCAATATATATTAAATTCAATTTAAACCAAATTTGAATTTAAACCAAAAGAGCAAGGACTCAACAAGTAATTATTCAAAATCTTCAAAACTGAATCCCTGCTCTCCTGAAGGGGGATCACATTGCCTTTGCTAGCAGACCATATTCGAAATATAACAAGCATAGAATGGATAAAGCCAGTAAGAAATAAAGGATGGGAAAATAACAATGTTTACACAACAAATATAAGGTTATTGAGTTACTATTATAATTAATATAAGTTAAAATTAATTATATGATAGCTAATCCCTATTTCTATTTTTATTCTTACATGAAGACAGTCAGTAACATTCAAAGGGACAAATGGAGTCTTTTTGACAGTTAAGTAGCAGAGGTTTCACGTATTCAACAGTCGGAAGGCTGAAGATCTGGACCTTTCTTTCTATGTGTATATATATATATACATTTATATGTATTTCTTTGTAAGTATTTCCAAGCGGCCTTTTTCCTCAAATCATGTGGCTGTGATTTAACATCTTACAAATAAGTCACATTCAAATGGATACTGAGTATGCTTCATTATGGATTTCTATTTTGGTGATATGTAAATTTCCATATCTAAAGAGAGGATTTATTTGTCTTTGCAATGCACTGTTTGCAAGAATTAGGAAAAAGGCAAAATCCATTTATATCATACAAATTAATAACAATATAGCAGAAGGAAAGCAGGAAAGGTTTTTTTTTTTTTTTTTTTTTTTTTTAAGGATCTCTGTGGGGTGCGGGAGCAGGGATATTTTTGTTGTTTAAGCAAAATTCACTTGAGGCAAGTTTCTAAAGTAATACTGCCCACTGTGTTTGTTAAATCCATTTTGGGGGACAAGGTGGTCTCTACTGAACCTTGCATCTTCCTCATGTTAGCTGACCTTTTTTATATCCCATTGCTCTTCTTGTTTTTAACAAGAATTTAAAAGAACACGGAGCTTCTAATTATTTCATCAATGAACAGAAACCTTCATTACAACTCTTCCACACTACTTACAGATTATTTAAGTACTTAAGATTTCAATGTCCACACAGACATTAGTTCATTCTCAATCTCCACCCACATTTACTCAAGTAACAGTAAGGGCCTGATCTTTTTAAATACAGATCTCAACCTCTCACTAAAAAGCAATTAAAAAAAAAAGAAATGTTGATTTTAATAATGCTCTTCTAAACAGCACAGATGCTTGGGGTAGTCACAACAAGTTATCTTTAACCTACAAGAACACAAACAACTGCAAGCATTCATCTTACTGTTCCCTTATGTTCCCTGCTGATAGTAACAGCATCATGCATAAACAAGCACAAAGAATCAATATTATAAGCAGATGGCTTTTAGCATGTTGTATATTTAATTGTTTCTTATTGAAAAAGAAAAGTGTTAGAGATAAGGCAGTCTTTAAACAAGATTCTAAAGCAAAAGACCTGAGGAAGAACATCCATCTGTTCTTAGCTTTGATGCTAAGTTATTAGGCAGAGGAGTAAGTAGAGACAACAGAGAAGCATTAGCAGTACTTACATATACACACCATCTAGTAGAGGAAATAGACATGAACATCAATAAGCTTTTGCTGCAAGTCTGCACTTAAATAATCCATTGTTTTACAGTAAAGTCTTCACATTTGGGAGAAAAAAAAAAGAGAAGAAAAAAAGACAAAGAAAGAAAAAGAAAAAATAGAAGAGAGAAACAGGAAAAAAAAGAGAGGAGAAAAAAAAAGGAGGAAAAGCATTTTTCCACCATCTGAAACTGGAAAAGTTTTATTAAATTAAGCAACTTTCTTCTCAAGCAGGTAATATTTAAAAAGTACATTGTCAATGAAAAACAGCATGTAAATGCTAAATACTACCAATTACTAATATGTCATTTCAATTTCTGATTGCTCATTTTAGTTGGAAAGAGAAGAATATTATAAACTAATCTGAAGGCATTACTGGCTTAATAGCCAAGGACAAAGTACTCAAACAGTCATATCATTAATATTTCAACAATGGACATCATTATTAATGTGTTAAATAGAGCATCTTCAAAAAACTATACAGAAGGAAGCGCCTCTATTTTGTCCCAGCTATCTAGACACATTATGCTTACTAGTTTTTGAATGCAATGTAATCAGTCCCTAGAGGTTTAAATATCTTTCATTCTAGTCTTATGTTTAAAAAAAATACAATATTAAGTGCTTAGTATGAGTCTATTAAAATATACAGTCTTGTTTTAAAAAAGGAAATGATTGTATATTCAACACTCAAATATTAACTTTTTCTTTCTGTTTTGCTTTTGCTAGATTGCCAATATAATCAAGCCAAGAAGTCTCAAAGAAAAGCAAAAACAGCTCCTGCATTTCCTATTGTGAGCAATCCTAATGATCAAATATAATCTTCTTTTATGTTGGGCAAAACCACAATTTTGATCTTCATCTTCCAAACAAATGTAAAAGACAAAGTGAATCTGCATGAACTATACTTGCTTCTGCATGAAGTTGCAGGACCTGCTAGGTTCATTATACAATTGATACTACTACCATTTCATGTGGGGACAGGAACCACTTCCCAAACTATTACACAATTTATTCACTCCTGTCCATACCACAGGAGGACAGTCTATCTCCTTACCTCACTGAATGATGTCCAGAAGTATAGTCTATTTTCCCTAACTTCTTTGTGTGGTAGCCATGCTTCTGCAGGAGATCCATCCACGTTACATAACCTGGATCTAGGCCTTTGAAGTTATTCCAGGATTCAGTTAAGTGAGTAAAAAGACCACTCCACATAGCTAGAAAAAAAAACAAAGACAAGTTTTTTTACTTCTAAAAGCTACTCATTTATTCAGCTGTGGTTATTCCTCCTGACAGCAATAAAGAGACACCTTTGTACTAGGAAGGAAGAGTAGTTCTGAGGGCAGCTTCAGCAATGCAGCAAGCAAACTGACAATTTCAATAAAAATCCTAAAGATTTTTTTTAAATACCTAGACTTTGGAGAAACTTGCAAACCAATTTGGGAGCTCAGAAATAGTTAGAAAAAGAAAAATGGAAGGTTGAAAGAAGAAGCATGAGAAACAGAAAATAAGGCCCAAATATCAGAAATTTTGAGTCTTACTAAAAAAAAAAAAAATAAAAAATAAAAGCAAAAGACCCCAAACTGATGTACAGCCATCATTAGTACACATATAATTTGACAAGATTTATCGTTTTCTCTTATACGACATTTTGTTTGGTCTTACCTGCGCGGGAAGGACAACAAATTGGAGAATTGGTATAGGCCTTGAGGAAGACAGTGCCATATCGCTTCATAAAATTTATGAAAGGCAGGGCCACAGTCTGGTTCCCTGGATAAAATGTTAAGCGTCCATCCTGAATCAAACAGGAAAAAAAAAAAAAAAGTAAACAGCATTACTCCACATTACTGCCTACCTTATTTCAGCAGTACCTCTGCAGGGGTGCATACGTGGTACATGCACCTCTTAGTATATGGCATCAGAACTATGCTCAGTTCTGTGAACACACCACACCTCTGTGAACTTATTGCAAACTATGGCTGGGAAAAATGATTAGCAAGCTGTAGGGAGGCTATTCTTCCATGAAAAGCAGCCCACAAAGGCTTACTTGTGATACTTTACTTATCATTTTATCCATTTCTTTAGCTATGATTTTCAAACAATTACTTAAAAAAGACTCAGAACTTCTGAATAAATACTTCTACTGTATAAAAGTAAAAACGACAAGAAACTAAATAACTGTATACAACCCTATCAATGCCATTTTCCATTACTTGTGTCTCTTCCTTTGGTTAAATAAGGTGTCTTGATTCAGCCAGCCTTAAACTATGCTGCTCTTTGGTGAGGGGGCTGTTGACAGCAAACCTGCAAAGATGTTAACAGATCTCCCAAGGAGCTCTAAGTATGTGAGTAACCCTCCCCTAACACTGTGACAGCAGCACGCACAGCTTAAGGCAGGGGCAGCTTAACGGCTGTGTTTTGCACAGCACTCCTCTGCAAGAGCAATAGGCTGGCAGCAGAGGGCATCAAACTCAAGCTACAAATTCACCTCCTACTGGCGCATTGGCTGCAAAAGCCTATGCCCAAACGTCTATGAACCATCTCAACTGCCTCTGCAATATAAATGTCAGCATGTAAATCCTCACCTCCTGTACATATAGTCACCTCTACTAATTAAATTATCTTATTTTTATTATAGGAGAAGGGTTTATATATTGAAACCCACAGTGAAATAGCTGATGATGGCAGCTTTGTGCTGACTTGCTTATGTCCACGCGTGGGTGACAAGCATCACCAGCACACAAAAAATGTTTGATGGGTCATGTACAGAGCAAGCTTGATTTGGCACCATAGGGTCTTGATCTCTGCTGGACCCAAAAAAGCATCATCATATGACATTTAATTCAGAGCTGCACAGTGACTTTTGGTGTATTTTTTTTCAATGTGAAAAAAATGTGGAAAAGTTACTTAGTGAGACACTACCTCTTCAAAAGGAAACATTCACCTGAACTACCACTCTCCTCCCACTGAACCGTAATGAAATAAAGTGCAGATATGGCCCACAGCAAATTGAAGGAGTTGCTTCCCCTTCACGCTGAACAGGCTGTTTTACTCCAAAACCAAAAATACCCCAACAGCTTCACTGAAGCCTCTACCTAGAAGCAGCCAGAGACCTCTGATCGTCTACTTCAAAATGCAAAGAACAACATACACTCTCAAGAGATGCAAGACTTTGATGCCTTCCCATCTATGAAATCTCGCCTTTAAAATGTTTGAAACAGTCACAAATTCCTCTCTAGCATGTGAGTCACGGGGAAAACCCCAAAAGGCAGCAGAAAATGCTGTCAACTTAAAACAGGCGGCCTTTAACCCTAGAAATATAATTAGTATATGTATTTGTGAATACATATGAAATTCATATACATAGTATATGAACTTGTGAATGAAAAAGATGTTCCTCTTTTCACCTCTGAGTGTAAAAAAAAATACAATTCATATTCCTAGAATTCTTAGAAACATCCCTAGTGCTCCTATACAACTCTAGTTGTAGGAACCCCCCTGACAGCTTTAAACCAACCCGAGTTACACCCCTTAAAAGCCTGACTACGATGCCCGTGGGCGCGCGAGGTGGGACGGGCCGTCCTGTCAACGGCCGCCCAACCGCCGCCCAACGGCCCGGGCCCCGCGCCCGGGGTACTCACGAAGGAGTCAGAGGCCACCAGCACCACGCTGGGCCGGGGCTGCCCCGCGGCCGCCGCCGCCGCCGCCAGCAGCAGCAGCAGCAGCAGGAGCGGCGGCGGCGGCGGCAGCTCCGGGCCGCCCGCCCGGGCACCACGCATCGTCCCGGCGCCGCTGCCGGGGCGGGAGCGAGCAGGGCCCGCACGCCACCAAGGCCCCGCCCCGCGCACCAGCCTACAGCTCCCGGCATGCCCCGGGGAGCGGTGCCTGGGCGGTGCAGGGCGCTGGGGGACTACAGCTCCCAGCATGCCTCGGTGAGGGGGCGGACAGGCGCCGGAAGGGACCAGACGTCCCACAATGCCCGAAGAGCGGTCGCGGTGGCAATACGGGGCGATGGCGGATGTTTGAGGGGGAAGGGGTGAGTGCGCCTGCGTGGTGGCGGGTGAGGCGCGGGCCGGGCGAACCGAACCGAACCGAACCGAACCGAACCGGGGTGGGCGGCGAGCCCCGCTCCGCGCGGGGAGAGCAGGGCAGGGCAGGGTAAGGGAGGAGGCCGGGGGAGGCTGCGCGGCCCCGCCGGGCCCGGCTCGCCGCGGAGGGGCGCGTGGCGGGCGGCCGGTCCCGCCGTGCCCCGCAGCGCCGGTGGAGCCGCGCGTTGCGCTGGAGCGGCCGCCTCCGCGCAGCAGCGCGAGTCCCGCGGGGTGTCGCCTCCCTCGGCTGGTAGCGGGGTCTGTAGCCCGGCTGCCGAGCACGGGCCGTGTCCGCTGACCGCGGGCTGGGCCCTGGCTCCGCTCCTGCTAGCTCGTCTTGAGCCTCTCAGAGACTCGGTTCGTAGCGTGTCGCTCGCTGCACCTCGGCAGCCCCTGCAGCAGCCGCAGTGTCAGCCGCATCCTGTGCAGGCGGTGGTGACTGCGGTGGTTATACCATTGCTGGAGCTCTCTTCGCGGCATGGACGCACACAGGTAGGCAGGTGGGCCTCAGCGTACTGTATGGCCAGAGCAGCCTCCGTAAATACAAGTGCTTCTTAGGCTGCCCTTCAATGTGCTCCTGTGCGAGCAGGACTGAACACGCGAGGAGGGCCAGGGTGGCCCTGGTAGCAGGTCACGCAGCAGGCAAGAGCAGCCCCTGTGCCCATTAATTAATTAATTGGAATACTGACAAGCCCCTATGCTGGATCTAAGCATAAAAAAATGCATTTGAGCCCCATTACTTGTTTCAGGGATTTCTGGTGAAGTGATCACACCGTGCACGTTTTGGCCTGTTGCACTCTACTGGGTTTGCGTGGACGTGTGACCCACAGCTGCAATGAGGAGCCTAAGAGTGCATTCCTTTAGTGTAATTACACTAGGATGTAAGTGATGTTCCAAATGCCGTGTCTCTGTTTCTGAGAGCTGACCATATGTTCTTTCTACCTAGCAGCCACAATGTCAAATAAGGAGGTAAAAGCGGCCTTAAAGAGTGCTAGAGAAGCAATAAGGAATAAAGAATATAAGGAAGCCTTAAAACATTGCAAGGTAATTAATTCTTTACTTGGAAATATTTATTTTTGCACTTGTATGTGTTTGCTGTTCTTTTCCCTCTGCAACTGCACAGCAATGCAGAAGAATGCATCTTGTTGGCACAGTTATATCAACATAAAACTATGTCAACAAGATGTAATTATCTCAACTGGCTGCACGTGTTACTTGCCTGAAAGTAAGCTCCATTCCTCTTGTCTTTTGCATTTGCTTGCTTGTGAAACAGAGGATATTCAGTTTAAAGCCATGTTGATAAAAATCTAAAAATCTATTTTTAATTAAAACTTCAACAAGAATACTTTAGTTGCTGAGTTACAGATACAGTTACTAGCAGGGCAATTGAAATGTGACCTTTTCTTGGCATAAGAAAGCTAAAGCTTTTGATTTTAGTCTTTTGCTAAAAATGTATTAACTTCTGATTCTTCCAAACAGAAGAGCTCACTAAACTTTAGTAAGAAAAGTCACTATGTGCATCTGTAAGGTGCATTTTATTCATGAGTTTTATTTGAAATTGCATATTTCTAGGCAGTCTTGAAGCAAGAGAAAAACAACTACAATGCCTGGGTATTTATTGGCCTGGCAGCTGCTGAGCTGGAGCAGCCTGATCAGGCCAAAGGAGCCTACAGGAAGGCTGTTGAGCTGGAACCGAACCAGTTACTGGCATGGCAGGTATGTTTGTGCTCTCATCCACTTTCTTCTCTCCACGGAGAGTGTCACTATGGAACTAAATGTGGGAACAGAACAGAGTGAAGATTTGCAGGTTTTTCTGGTCGTAGTGAGGCTTCATAGTAGATGATGTCCTGATTGTGTCCCCTGCCTGTGTGTGTAACGTGGCAGTCCAGCTCCAGGAGATGGAAGCTGTGCTTCCTGTGTGGAAGAGTGAAATGCACTAGCAAGAGCAATAATTAAAGCACATACAGTAAGTTTGTTAATGCTTAAAAGCAGTCTGAATTGTCATGCCCAGGGCTCAAGAAATGTTTCTTCCCTAGAGAAGAAAGCATTTTGATAACTTATTTTTTCTAGGCTCTACTGAATGAATTGCATTATTGACTTTCGCTGTGATAAAGTATACAGCTGGAATAACCATGCATTAGGTGGGGCATACGCAATGTCCTGAACATTACATAGTTATTTGGAGACTTGTGAAGGTTGAGTATCTCTTGATCAGATACCAAAGTCCAATATTACAGTAAGGTTTCTTGTATTTTCAATATAAACATTTTTAAGTTTAACACTTGGTGCCTGGTTTCAATTTCAAGTTCTTGAGTGAGTAACCAGGGTCTCTATCTTTGTTCCTCTACAAAGCTGTATCGTACTTGGATATAAAGCATCCGCCCTGTGACTTGGTGTGCTTTGTTACTATGTTTTGTCTGGTATGCAGACAAGGTTACATAATATTCACAAGTTTCCAATGGCTGTCAGTATCAGTTAGGAAAGCGAGGCTTGCTTTTCATTTAAAATAGATTCAAAAGGCAATACAGAAAGTACCCACAAATTTTGTTCAGAGGCAGCATTGCAGCATAAATTTCACTTATAATTGCAAACATCAAATGTTACTCTTTTTTTTTTCAAAAATCCAATCTGTTTCATTTTAAAGGGGTTGGCAAACCTATTTGAGAAATCCAACCAAACAGATGTCAAAGGAGACTTAGCAGACGTTTACCAAAAGCTCTTGGAACTCTATGAAAGGTAAAGAATATCAAAAACACAATTCTAACTAAAATTTCCAGTTTCTTCCTTTTTTTTCATTTTTTTTTTTTTAAAGAAGTCCAGCAAATGCCATTGCCGATGCTAGTCTGTCAGGTGTTGTTGTTTTTGTTTTGTTTTTAACTGTCATTTCAAAGGATAAGAGTTGGCTACTCAGATTTTCTGTAACAGAAAGTTGGAGAGAAAATAGTTCTTACTTCTGTCCCCCTAAAAAGGGGAGAACCTTTGTAAAAACTGTACTTTATTAGGAGAAAATTTTGTTAGCTGATATTCACTGTCTGAAATCCTTGATTTGAAGTGCTTTAAATAGTATGTAGTCTCTATTATTATCATTAATAAGTAGGCTTATTTTTTCTCCAGCTTTAGAACCATAGCAGATAAATCACCTAGTTCATATAGATAAACACAGCTAATTCACCAACTGTCGCTAGGGCCCATAGCTGACTGTTGTTTTCCTGTAGATTGACCATTGCTCAGAGCAATGCAGTACTTTAAAGTCATTTCTATTCAGTTAAAGTAGCAGTAAGCATTTTTTTAGGGTAATCTGTGGTCTTTATTGTAAAGACTTGCTTGGTAAACTTATCTTAATCAGAACTTATTATTTAACAGAATTTGAAAGATATTTCACTGTTTCTTGGAAAACCTAAACCTACTTGTGTGAGATTTTCTTCTTTTCCAGTGGTGACAAGCAGAAATGGTGTGATGTATGTAACAAGCTTGTGGAGCTGTATCGCCAAGAAAAGAAATATTTAGAGGTAAGTAACTCATTTACTTTTTCTTTATTGATCAGAAAGGTATTTATGGTAAGAATTGGCCTTTGTCTATGAATCTGTGTGGCTTAGCTACAGGCAGTCTACACGCAGTGAGAAGGAGTTGCCAAGCTGGTTGGCCTCAGGCCAAACTAGCACTCCCAAAGTCCACATCAGTGTGGCTCGTGCTAGAGATAAATGGGCCTTGTGAGCCTGTCTCTGCGTGGAGCTGTTAGATGGCTCTAAGGCTCACTGCTAGCTTGGCCTGCTATGCCTGGAGTCATATGAGAACACTATTCTTGCAGCTATCTCCTTTCCTTTGTCTTTACTCACATAGAAGTTTGCTTTCTTATAAGGCAGTATAGGCTCTTGCATCTTCCTTCTCCCACCTTGCCACTGGCAATGAAAAACGATTACTTACTTACTTACTTATTTATTTTAGAGTGTTGTATTAACAGCCTCAAAACTGTATTTTAACTGCAAAGGCACATTTTGCCCACCACTTGCAAAAACTCTAGTCTGTGTTAGTAATTTATCATGCAAAGGTAGACTCCATTTATATACAGTAGTATGCACTAATCTATATGTTAGGCTTCAGATTCCTGCTTTTTCTTTCTGAGTCTTGCAGATATTTCAGCACATGTTGCCGTTGTTCTTCTATCTCAGTTTCTAGTGTGGTAGATCTGACAAGGCTATTTTTGTTTCCTTTTTTTCCCTTTTCTCTAGCATTTACAGGGCTGTCTTGTTTTTTGGTGGTGGTGATTTTTTTTTCCTGTTTGTTTGTTTTTATTGCTGCTTTTCTCTTGAAGAACCACTTGCAGCATTTCCAAACGTATGATATTTTAGTCAGAAAGAAGGTAAATCCTGACAATTCCTCAAAACGTCACCCTGATGCCTGTTCTAGGATGGAAGCAAGCTCTTTTCCCTTTCTTCTAGTAAAAGTCTACTAGTTCATTTACCTGTTGCTGTTTACAACAGATTTCCTACCTGTGTGTATGATAGATACCATAGGAAGGACTTCACCAGCACCCACAGCATCTTTCAGGATGTTTTACTAAAGGATACTCTAATCTAGGCAAGTTTAAAATGCTGCTGTACTTGTTTGCATTACCATCCAAAATTTGCTTGCACGTTACA